GAGTATACTATTCCAATCTTCTTAGAAATAAATCTCAGTTTCTATCTATAGTACATGCTAAATGCATACATTTCTGATAGATATAATAACTAGGACTTGATAACACTGGACAGAAATGAAGTTACCAAAACATAAGACTATGTTACAAATATATGTGCTGAGACATGCTATGTAATAGCAGATATTAAAAAATTTCACTACAGATGCATAGAGAAGGCAAAGGAGAAGTGAGGCAGAGTACACATACAGAAAACAGTTCACAGCCAGCTCTGCCACTGGCTGGATGAATGACCAGTGGCCCTGTCTCTTCATGTTTACAGGTCTAACTGCTCTTACCTGAGAACCAGGAATGCTAACGAGGCCTGCAGGTTTGGGCTGTAAGCACAGTAAAAGCACTGAGAACACTGTAGGTGTGTGGGAAGCAGTGTATAAAGCCATCAGCCATGCGGTCGTCTAATTCAATATGCAGCATTCACACCATGGGCCACTGAAGTAACCTCAACTTTAGTTTTAAAATGCATTCTTCTTGACAAGTACTTTACCTGACAAGTGAAATGACACTGACCACTGGAGGTCAGTGAATATACTCCTATTTTCTTAAATACACACAAAATCATAGGCCTGACATATGTATAACTTGGCATTTTGTATTGAGTCCTACAGATATGGGCAGAATCATCCATAACTGTCAACACCACTGACCTCAAGAAAGCTGGCTCTCAGTAGGAAGACAGAAACTATTGACTTTGTTTTTGTTCATCTTCGCATTTTTTTCATCTTTGCATTTTTTACTCATTAAAATGAACATTATTTGTGGGATTTCAACAAATAAGTTTTAGGTAAGTTTTAAGTAAGCTGAGATAAAATAAAAGTCTAGGAACTAAAACAAGCACCATGAGATATAAATAAGGGATGGGATTGTGAGTTACAAAATTAAAAAGAAACCAGAATTAAAAATGCTGCCTGACTTTACCAGGGAGCTTGGCGGTCTCCCAGCATTCTCTGTGAGGTGCTAAGCATTTGTCAGCATGGTTATGAAAAGTGCCTTTGTATTTGTGGAGCTTGAAGAACTCTCATGCAGGGAAATCATCCACATATCATTTTTAAAGTGTGCAGTTATGTTCAATAGCCTTGGGTTTGCAGTTTAGTGAAAACCCAGTCTTCACAGGGAAACAGCAGCATCGACTACCTATCCGGCCCTGCCCAACACTTGACCACCACCCTCCCATGGAGTGGGAAGAGGAATGAGCCTTCCAGTTCATGGAGTCCCACTACAGGCCGGGAACTGTCACAGTCTAAAATCCACCTCCTTCAGTCCCATGCAGCTCAGAGTACAGTGCTGCCTCCAGCTTCCCGCAGCTCAGCACATACAGGCTACCAGCAAACCCCTTTTGAGAATCCCTCCCTGTCTCCTGAGAGAAGAGGAAACACGGCTGGCTACCATCGCAGAATCACTTAAAAAGCTTTGTTCATTTTCTCAAGCCACATGTTCCTTTGTGTCCCCAAAGCATGCTCTCTGCTTGACAAGTGCATAGTTAGAAGCTTGCTTGTGTCTTCTATGGATCTGAGTTGGGAGAGACATGGGACTTGACAAGCCAGTCTTGGCAGTGAGCTGGCAATTGGGGCACTGCGGGTGGGCACCCCTTTCAGAGGATGCACTTCCTCTGCTCATTTGGAATGGCCTCAGGCCTCCTCACCAGCCAGGACTTTACCAGCAGAGGGCTGATTACCCTAGCACCAGAGAGGAGGAATGAATACATTTCTTCTCAGAGATATTGTATCTAGAGTTTGACATTTTATTTATCTCCATCTTTAAGCTTATCTTGCTTCAAAATGGTAAAGCCACCACTCCACAAATCTTTCAGCTTAACCCACTGGAAGATGGGGCTGGGTTCAGCTCATTCCTCTCCTCCTCACTGGACTCCCTGAGCAAACACAAGAGACAACAGAATTCAATGTCATGCTCCAGGATTAAGGTGCAATCAATGACAAGACCACAGGAGAGCTGAAGCTCATTAGTTTAGTACTGTAGGGTCCACTTCCCTCATTCAGGGCTCCTCCAAGAGGAAGCTAAAAGGCCAGGTCCTGTGCCTCCTGGCCTGGGGCCTATTCTAATGCCCTGGGCATGTGTGACTGAGCTTCTGACTATTCAGTTGCAGCTGTTAGAGAATGAGGACTCAATGGAATATTGTTTGTACCTAGTTTTGGGACAGGGAAGTCATTTTTCTCATGCCCAATATTTTTCAGAAGTAGGCAAAACATGCCGATTAGAATGTCACAGCACTTCGAAAATGCTATGCATACATTATATGATTCTGTACTGTGATATGTGATTTATATATAAAATTATAATATAATTGTCTATTATCATATATAATATCATCTATCTGGGATACAGAAAAGCAGTTACGGTATGGAGTCAGTAACAGGCCTAAGTCTGTGGTCTGCTATTTGCTAATCGTGTAACTTTGGGCACTCCACAAAAATGAATTAAGACAATGTAATAATGTGGGGCACTAGGCACCCTGCCTGTCACACAGTGACTGCTCAACAGTTTTTTTTTTTTTTTTAAATCATTGTTGTCATTTTGACCATTTTTACCAGTATCATCGCTATTATCCTAACACCAACAAGGTACTAAGTTAAGAACTCAGTGTATTTGAGAAAAAAATAAGGAAGCAACCATTATTTTATATATAACATTTACTTTTGCATGACAGTTTGTCTATTTACCTTAGAATGATCTCCTTCAGAGACCTGGCAGCCCAATGAAACTACACAAGACACGTTACATGCAATCCACGTCTTTCTTGCTGCACTGTCTGCAGACCTGGCCCATGTGGAAATGAACACATGAAGGGGGCAGACACTGTGCCTTGAGTGCATGTACACACCCATCCCTATTCCCTGGACTGACATAATGCAGTCAATTAATCAGTATCAATCTGCTACAAAAATGAATGGAGAAAAACTTATGTTCTGATGACTGTGTGGTGTAACAACTGCATCTCTGGTCTGCACATCATCTGTGTGTCAGCATCAGTGCCATGCCCCGAAGAGGTTTCAAATCTATCCTGGGGTCACAGTTTCAAATACTCTGCAGAGGCAAGTTTCTTAAATAGTATCCACCACCTGGGTGCTAGGCTATCTAGTTTCCTCAGGCCGGACTTAACAAGACAGTTCACATCCCGGGGGCTCTTTTCTGGATCTTCCTCCTCTGTCCATCCAGAACTGCCTCACTCCTACCCTGAAATAACACCCTTTGGAAGATGCTCGAAGTACCTAAGTACCCCCTACAGGCAGCATGAGCTGCTCAGAAATTCAAGTCCCAACATAGACCTTGTAACACATTTTCCTTCTCATTCCCTTTTGATTCTCCACCTCCCCAATGCTAAGGATTGGCAGCACTGAGATGTGCCCCCAGCCCCATTTAATAAAATGTTTTTTGAGTCACAGTCTTGCTAAATTGCTCAGGCTGGCCTTGAACTTGCAATCTTCTTGCCTTGGGCTCTAGAAGAGCTTGGATTCCAGGACTGAGCCACCATGCCCAGATTCTCTTTTGTTTTCTAAGTGACCATTTCTGAAAAGTGTGTGTTCTGCCTTTCTGTCAAAGTACTAAAATGATGATCTAGACCATCTTTAGTAGTTATATCCAGTATGAGACTTTACAAAACAACTGGGAGCTGTGGGTATATTAGAAAAGTATACCAAATATTTTCAGATATATTATTCACTTTTATTGAATCACACACACTGAAAAGTCAGGGAAGCATACTTGCCACACTTTCTGGAACTTCATCTCAGAGGCTGGTTCCTCAGAAGAGAGGTTTAACACTAATGGGATGTGGTTCCTTTTGATTTCATTAATTCCCTCCTCTAAGGTTAGAAGGAACATTCTTCCCATGCCCCATCAGAGGGCAGAAGCACACTGAACCGGAGCATTAGCCTGTTCCTCTGGTTTCCTCACAGGAGGGTTATAACTTCTAGATGCTTCTACTCCTTGAGACAAAAATGTATGCCTTTTAAATTTGTAATATGCCAACTATACTGCAATGGCAGATGTGCTGTAGAAAAAGATGGCCTTTATTCTTCTGTATTTACATACATATTAGAGAAGCCTACCCAGAAAGCTCCAGCTTACTGAGTCATGAACATACTGATCAACAGTCACTGAGCTTAAACTATATAGCAGGTACTAAGCACCGAACAGCCTTTCAGGCTGCCACCAGACTACCCACACTTCTGTACCTTCCAGTTATTCCTAGGGTCACCTTTATCCTGTCACTGGGATGGGAACTACTAGCTGGCACGGGATTAACCAAACAGAGGCAGCCCTCTCCTAGGCTCCAGATTGGTTTTGATGTAAAAGAAAAACACAGTCGACTTTTAGAAGTAAACAGAAGCAGATTTTATCACTTTTCTGAGCAGGCCATCCTCTTGGTTTTCACTCTTAACAGCCTGACTGTATCTTTGTCCTCTTAGTTAACAAGTTGCTCTGTCCCTACAGAGCACAAGCTTAGTTATTTCAGGTGTTTTTCTCACCCTCTGTAGGCATCAAGCAACACTGCGTGAATCACAGCCACAAGGGTGTGCATATAAAAGGGTGCATGCGCTCACCTGTGTGCTGCCAGTGATCTGTAAGACTGCAGAAAGGAGGCTGTGAGAAGGTGTTGCTCTGCTAGGGAGCTGGGTTCTGCAGACCTAAGTGTTATGCTTATTCCTTCCAGGAAGGGCCATCCACTTTCCCTTTTGTTCTAAAAGCTCCCCTATCAGTGAGGACCATGGAAGCCAAAATGCATAAGCACAACCCACTGATCATCATAGCACAAAGCTCTCTTCTGGCAGAAGTGGGTAATCCTCCCGCCCTGCCTGGAGAGGAAGCAGAACTGTTCATAAGCAAACAGGAGGGGCAGCAGAAGGAAGGGGTGCAAATAACCCGAACCCTCGCTGCCATCCTGCACAAACAACACAATCACTGTTGCCTCGGTTTATCCACATACCTCCAAAGTGAGCTCTCGGTGATGCTCCCCAGGTTATAGTCATAGAGCTTCGTCAGAATGAGAATCACCTAGAGACAAAAGAAGACATCATGGTTAGTCTCAATTATGATCTCCTAGAACTGAAATGGCCCAAGGAAGCACTTAGGCTTCCTCTCATGGGTGCTTAACATGACTGAATTGTTCAAGCATGTGCTACACTGACCAGGGATGGGCTGGCTGGCCTTCCCAATCAGGCTGTCCCTGTCACCCTGTAGCAAAAGATAATTCTCACTTTTCTCATTTCTCACTCTATAGCCTTTCAGCACTTCGAAGAAGAAGGCTGGTAGAACTGTTAGGCATGCACACCATAAAGTGGTCACTGGATAAGTGTTTGAAACCACCAGAGTAGGTTATCTAACCCCTCTGAAGGTTGGCATCTCCATCTATTAACAGGCATGCTGGGAAAATGCTACCTCCTTTCCAGAAAAGGTGGCTGGGGTGGAGTGAAATAAGGTAGCAAACACAAATTACCTATCAATTAGCATGCAGATCTCCAATATCTGCATGAGAATCTTTCCTTTCTCCTTTGTGAGCTTTGCTTTACCTGTTTTTTTTTGTTTTTGTTTTTTTTTTTTTTTCCTGACTTCTCAGTTTTTAGGAAAGTCACTGGATAGAAGTCACAAAGCACCACAGATTGGCTAAACAACAGCATTTTAAGAGGAGCAAATCCAGGTTTTATGGGATCTTAAACTTATGGAATTTGGGGGATGGAGAAGCCTCCACAAAGAGAAAGAATGTAAGTTAAAAAATCAGGAATGAGTCCCAGGAAGGAACCTGTGCGGATAAGGGATGTCATTAAGCTCCCAGCAAATCCTTTTCTGACAGTTAACCTAGCACTGCTTTCATCCTTGCTCAGAAAAAATCAGATGATTTAGTTCTTTCAAATATCAGAAACATTTACTGAGTCCAAAATTTTCCCTGATGTCAGTAGATGTAATAGTAAGTTGTGGTGTCAACTTAAATAAGAAACGCCTTGCAGACTGGATTTAGCAGCTCTGGATGGGTCTGGGATAAGGGACCTACTCCAGGGGGAAGACGCACCCTGGCTGTGAGTGGCCAAGCCACTGGCTCACAGCCTGGAGGACATAAAAAGCAAAAGAAGTCAGGTCTCAGTTCTGCTCCTTCAGAGGACCTCTGGTCTTCAGCATCACCTTTGGACTGCTGTTTCCAGCCTTCCAGCACACAGCTTTCCACTTCTTGATAGGAACTAGTACAAAACTCTGCAGGGAGCTCTTGGACATTGACTTTTAACTGAATCCCCAGCCGTCCAGGACATGGATGGCCCTTTCCTATTCTTCTACAACTGACCCTGCAAGTGGCCACTGTAAGAAAACCCTGTAAATCCTCCACTGAACCTTAGCTGACGCAATAGAGCACATAAAGAAAGAGAGTGAGGCAGAGCCTGTACACCAGCTAGGACAGAATGTGCTCATTAAAGCAAGAGCAAGCTGGTGAGGAGCAGAGCTATTCCTTCCCACTCCAGCTGAAAGCCAGGCTCATCACAACAGCTGGGAAATGTGGCTTTCTTGATGCCTGCAGCAAAGGCCAGCATCCACCTATACCAAAATATTCCTAATCACTGGCTTCCCCATGCCTGATCACTCTTACAGGAGGAGAGAAGCTGCGGAATCTGCTCAGTTTTTCTGCTGAAATTCCTATTTTCCTCCTGGGACTCCTAACCTAGAACTCTGGGCCCAGATCTACTGTTTCCAACTCAGCAGAAAAATGTTAGCATCAATTTCCTATGAAGGCCAAGGGATCATTCTAGCATGGTGAGCAGGAAGCCTCCTAACCTTGAACCCGGAGGCAACCATATGCCCAGAAAAGCAGCATCCATCCAAGTTCCCCTCTTCAGGTGCAGAGCTTTACTGACTGAGGCAAACAGGGACACCAAGCAGATTCCTAATGATTTTTTCTCAGTACACAAACAAAAAGTCTGCAAGTTTAGACTTGCTCTGAGTTTAAAGAAATAGAGACCATGGGAATATGAAGACAGATATCCTGAAAGCCCTGTCCTCCTGGTCACCCTCTATTGAACCACAACACAAGCCAGCATCACGTTTCTGTTCAAAGCTCGCTTCTGTGGCAGCCCATGAGCACATGTGGGGGGCGGGGCGCCCTCCGGGCACATCAGATGGCATGTGTACAGTGGGGGCATATGCCAACAGATCTGCCTGTCAATTCACTTGCTCTAAGTGCTAAACTCAATCACCCCCATCCCGGGAATGCTGATCAGTAGCAGCAGGGTGGCTGTGTATTTGAAGTCATAGAACCATGGTGCTGCGCCTCGGTGCAATTTTGCAGAATAGGCTTATAAATCCCCCACCAAGAAAACGGGGGTGCGGGCCTCAAGCATTTCTAGGCATTGCTCTCTTGACGCGATACAGCAGTAACTGAAATAATGAAGTTCAGATGGTCACGGGCCATGTCTTCCATTCATCTGGCAGGGGAGGCCAAGGCGCCCCAGAAGGAGCCCTTTAACCCGGCTTGTGAGGGTGTAGAGTTGCTCAGTGCATGCACAGACACTGTGTGAGCAGCTCCCTGGGCAGACGATAGGAAGGCAGATCTCTGCTCTTTGCCTCTTCTTGCGGGTTAGTAAAACTAAAATGCCAGCGATACACTCAGGCAGTTTATCAATATTGCAGCCCCAGCAGCATCTTGCATGACATTTCAAAGCATGTCTGCTGAAATCAATCTATTTACAATTTCTGTTTTCAGAAGCAGAGCTGGAATGGAGAACTGCTAACCTTTAGCTACATCTTCGATCAACTATGTGAGGTCTCTCTTCCCTTCTTTTTTCCCCCTTTTCTGGCTATGCACATTACAGTATTTACCAACTACTCCTAGACAGGGAAGGACGCACCTGTGTGCCTTAGACCTGGTTCACTGTCTCCGTTTTCCCATCTGGTCTATTATTTAACAGCTTTTATTAAAGGACACAGTGTAAATAACTACTTTCATGAGAAAATTTTAAAAGTGTAATTGCCCCCTTATTCTGGTTTTATTATCTATAATTTTATGTACTTTTTAAACTTTTAAAAAGAAAAATTAACAGGCCTGCTAAATGCAGTAACGCATGACATTTGAATAATGTCAATTTTTAAAAATCATTCTATAAACATATTCATGTTATAACTGTTGAGTTGAAGTATATAACGTTTAATTACAGACTGAGCAAGTTTTGTAAATACACATACACTCAAAACAGAGCATCCATCAGCTCCCCACTTAGTGCTACATCTTGTTTGTATGCCAGTGTCAAAACACTCTTGATTCAAAATAATGACCATGTAACAGCTTTGACAGGCTCCTGTTCAAATCTTAGGAGACTATCTTTAAATAGCTATAATCCAAATACCCACTGCTGCTGACCTCCGCCTACACTGTACTAGAGCATGGGCATGCAGACCCTCTGGCTTTCCCCAGTGATGTGTCTCAAGTACCCCGACTCAGTGTCAGAACTGCTCTCAACACAAGAAATCTGCCCTAGTCTCTTGCCATGGCTCCTTCCCACCAACTCCATGGCTGCCTAGAACTCCTGAAAGAAACTTTGCTTTGTTTACTCATGGAAGCCATGCCCACTTCCTCACAAGGAACACCCTTCTCCCATTTGGCAGGGAAGGTTAGTGCCAGGCACAAAGCCAGCCTCTGCACAGTTGAGGCAGAGGTACCCAAGGAGCAAGCCTAGGCTTCCTTCCCAGTTTAGAGCTGAGAACCCAGATTCTCCCATCCAAAGTGTCCCAGGAATAATGAAAATTCATGAATCGGCTCACTTGAGAAACTAAAGAATCTGAACCTAAAATAAAGGAATAGGCTCAAAGAACCCAAAGGAGGTTGGGTTCTATCTAATAAACAAAGACAACAACCTGGGCCCTGCATAAAGATCTACTACACCTGGCAGGTGCAGGGGCCTTCTGCATGGTCCTCACCCCTTCAAGTGAACCAAAAATGTTTCCTTTTCCAGGAAATTATGCAACCGTGACTCTGAGGCTTGTACTCCACTCTTGAGCATGTACTGAAATTTCTGCCCAATAAAACCTACTCTGCCTCTTTCTGAGGATTCCTGAAAATTATCTTTCCAGGAAGGAAATCAGCAGATCTCCAGCAGTTCCTCTCAGCTTCAGCTCCAGGAACCTCTTAGACCTGCGCAGGTGACAGTGCCTCCTGTGTCACCCTTGGGACCCTCAACCTGGCCATTTCTCTCCAATCAGCTTATCTTTGGTTCAGGGAAATCACTGATAATGGGGAAATGTCTTCTATAGCTTTGATTATTAATGATTTGTATTATTTGTTTCTCTTTGTGTCCTATTTCTTTCTCAAATTTTATTTCTTATTTTTTAAAAAGTACATTGGTATATTTTAGGTATGCATAATGATCACCTTCATTAAAGGGCATTTGTACCCGTACATGATATAACTTAATTGCTTGTTTTTTCGCATTCCCTTCCCCTCTCTTCAATCCTTTTTCCTCTCATTTACAGAAATATTGTTTCCATTTGTCTTTTTCTCATTTTTCCTTTCCTCCTTTCCCTCCTCCTTTCCTTCCTCCTCTCTAGTTCCCTTTCCTACTTGAATATTTTCTTCCTATTTCACAGTATCTATTATATATTTTGGTCTTTAGTTACACTTTTGGTTTCTTATACCACAAAAACAAGGTGGTATTTACATGTGTCTGATTTATTTCACTTAAGAGAACTGTTTCAAAGGGCATTCATTTAGCTAGAAATGTCTCAAGCTTTTCCTTCTTTATGGCAGAGTAGTACTCCATTGTATAAAAAAATCCATTTATCCATTCACTGGTCGCTATTTGGGCTGTTTCAAAGAGTCAGGAATTACAAACTGTGCTTCTATAATCATTGGTGTGAAAAATATATATTTTTCATACATATATATGAAGTGGTATAACGCTTTTAATTCTTTCAGGAAGATACCAAAAAGAGGAACAGCTGAGTCAAACAGAACCTTTGGTCCTAGATTTTTGAGAAATCTCCATATTGATTTTCACAGTGATTGCACCAGTCTACACTCA